TGATATCTATCTACGCAAAGGCAGATTGTACTGTGATATCAACTAAGGAAATTAATATTAATAAATATTAAAGTCTTATAAGTAGATTGAACTAGCTAATTATTAAAACTAGACCTGATCTATATCATGCCATATTCCGCCTGTAGAGATATATATATATTTTAACTACAATAGATATAAAGACCTTGAAGCATGTATATAAATATTTATAGAATATTACTTCCTATAGAATTACCCTGGCGGTCAATTATATTAAAGAAATTAAAATTTATATAAATACTGTCTATACTGATCACGAAGATGGCAAGTTAACAGAAAAATATATTATCTTCTATACAGGCGGACCCATTACCTGGTCATTAAATAAATAAAGCATTGTTATACCCTTCTCTACTATTACAGAATACTGTGTATATAATACCACCATTAAAAATGTCCTGTATATCAAGAAATTAGTACAGATATTTAATCTTAAAATATCAGATAACAGCAAAATACCCCTATTCAGTGATACTGTTAATTTGCTACAGATTCTTAACCACGGCATATACACGCGGTCTATTAGATAGCTAGATAACTACTATCTGTTCATAGCAGATCTAATTAAAACAGGTATTATATTAATTTAACATATTACAGGCATTAGTAACCCTGCAGACAGTCTTACTAAACTGCTGGATTGGGAAAAGTTCTGTGATTTCTAGATCCTGCTAGGGATAATCTCATTAGCTACCCCTCTACAGCATCCAGGGAATAATGCTTAATATACAAAAGATTGCTTATCTAGAAAATATTTACAACTTCATTTAGCACCTCCTCGCATGCTCCTTTGCCTAGGGGGCCGTGTCGAGGCATTCATGTAGGCTAGTCATATGCTGTGCTCGGACCGCCCATAAAGCATCTCTTCATGTTGCTTTGTTTTGCTCTCCTAGATAGCTCAATTCAACTCACTCTTTTGCTTCCGTTCGTTCGTTTCGTTATTGCCTTCGTTGCTGCTTCTGTAGAGCGCTCCTCAAGATGAGGCACTGGGTGTGGATGATTTAACACAGCACTTTAGACATGGAATAGTGCACAATTCATCTGACTGTCTCCTTACATACTTCGTTCAGGCCCATACGAGATTATGACTTCAAATTTCCCCTTGCTACGAGCTACATGATGTCCCATGGCGGGGAATGTAATCCAGTGAGTTATTATTGCTGTTAACTGTTAGATGTACATATATCTCATCGTCATTCGCAAAATATAGCTGTTTTCAATAAGATAATTTTCTACAATCAGGTGCTCTGAACATGACTATTCCCCGATCGTTTTCTGGTGCAACTATGCGCCGCCCCTTGTCTAAATGTGAAAAGGTACTGGACAAGTTGTGTCTTGGGTATCAATTTTTCACTCCAATCAATTGGCAGTTATTATCTGTTGCAAGCGGTTTCCTGTTTGTGACAATTCTATTTCTGGCAATGATAGCATGCGGCTTCATACCACCACTCCCTCCATCATGGGGTGCCGACAAGGTATACAATCACTACGACAGACACAAAAAGGGAATTCAGGCGGGGGCTGCAATGGTTGTTATCTGCTCCGGATTATGTCTTCCTTATGGAGCAGTAGTATCAAAGCAGCTTCGATTGATACGAGACGTAGACCCAATTCTCGGCGACTTGTCTCTTGTGGCTTGTGGGGTAGCGAGTGTCACCTTCATGATGTCCTCTACATTCTTAGGACTAGCGACGTTTCGGGATTACGGGCCGGAATTGACTTTACTTCTGAGTGATTTGTTTTGGTTCACTCTCATCATGCAGTGGCCGCCGTTTTGGATACAAAGTTGGACCATAGCGTGGGCAATTCTCTCGGATAAAAGTTCAGACCCTGCCTTTCCAAGGTCCTTAGCCATCCTCAACTTCATCGCTCCTTTGGCATTGTCCTCGGCCACCGCCATCCACCTTCATCAGCATGGACCATATGCATGGAATAGCGCACTGACCTTTTGGCTTGCTTTTGTTCTATTCTTTGCCCAGGTTGGGCTTGATCTACTGACTATGGGTCGGAACATCCTTAGAAGTCGAAGTTTGGAACTGGCTGAGCAGACGAATTGAAGTATCACTTGTCAAGACGAAGGGTCAAAGAAATGGATTTGATCTATCTAGATCTCAAGAAGATGGTTGGTTGGAAGAGGTGGTGGTCAGAGGCCACACAGGAAGAAGAGGCGAAGGATCAGCTGACAGCTGCCTGGCTGCAGTGAATGTCTCAACATCACTTATGAGTATGCTTCGCAAATTCGGGTCTTCCTGGGGCACTGCTTGGCAACAAAATGTCCGATAATAGCATGAAAATTGGTTATCGGGCTTGTTGTATGCCTTAGCTATTTGTGACACAATCACAGCCGAGAGAATGATATTGAGAGACGGGCGCAGACGGTCTGCTGTAAAAGTCTGGTGGTACTTCGGCCACCGCACATGTGTGTATGCAGGAGACCTTGGACAGTTTCATATATAAGCAATCTCGCAATGTAACACTCCAGCAAAGACACAACGGATGCGATATGGGCGAAAATTGTAGAGAAATGGTGTGTGGCAAGAGCTTCTAGTAATACGCGTGAAGGACGTGGGTACTATATCCCTAAAACCTTCTGCTTGCGATATTACCCTGTGTGCAAGTTGCGAATATGTAGTCCATCTTTTGACGTTCTGGTACTTTCATACATACTCCTTATCTCTGGTGGCTCTTAGTCAAGCGTGAGACGAGAGTCGGGACGAGGAAGACCAGGGGACAATTGCGCGGAGGCAGTCCTGTTGTACAAAAGGTATGAATCCCGCGCGTTGGCACTTTTTGACTGGTTAATGGCTCTCAACCCCTGATTAAAGTTTCTGATGCAAATAGCAGTACAGACAACCGTTGCAGCAGTCAGTGCCAAGGATAACGCGGCGAAAAACAACATCATGCTCTTGCCGGCTGTATTCGCCGAAGATAGAATCACAATCCGGCTGATAAGATATGCGACCAAGGCAAGGTAGCTCATCTGTTATGTGGCAATTAGAAGGCATGCCAGCAATCCTGAGGACCTAGACAAGAGGTAGAGAAGCTCACAATAATAGCAATTGTACTAAAGATTCGTTCTCGCTGGACAAACCAGACACCAGAAAATATCGCAATGATGGCGACAGGGATGAGGAGCATCGTCAAAGTATACTCTGGTTCTTTGAAGTGCACATATACTAGATCATATTGGATAATGAAGCCAATCAGAAAATAGAGGTTTACTTTTACCAGTACCAGAAAAACCTGCATTTACCAACTATGTTTAGCAAGTATTTACAGATACTTCAGGAAAAGGAACACGACGGAGTCGATTTTACCTCATAGGCCAGATAACGCATCCGAGTATCCAAGCTGCCGTGAACGGACTTGTAGATAGCCCATGAATAGTCCCGGTGTATCAAATTTGCGATTGGGCATAGAAAAAGAGTACACAGCCCTGTAAATATACATACAAGGATCTCTGCTGGCTGGACCTGAGGCCACACATTGCGTGTAGTATCCACCAAATTCGGATAGCTAAAACGTGACTCGAACAGCCTTGCAGTAGTATCTCTCATGACGAGAAATTGCATCACAGAATAACCGAAGCTGCAGGCATTACAGATGCAGACTGCAAAAAGAAGGACGTTATTCTTGTGGTGGATTGCATCTAAGGATAGAAACAACTCAAACAGGCAGGCGAATATCAGAATGCCTAGGTTAATTGGAATCAGGTAGGACACCGGCACTTGATTGATGGTGGAAGTGACCCATCTTTGCCATTCAATGAGTATATAGCTGCCTTGTAGGTTAGATGTGCTCGTGCCCACGAAAGGATGGGGGCGTACATCTCGAAGACGATGCGAGCAACCCGCTGCACAACCACCATTCATATCTCGTCGTCGGTCTATACATGCTCACTCAATAATATGATGGGCCACCTAACGATGTCGATTTTTTTAGTTGATCAAGTCCCTGCCAATACGTTCAGTGAATTTTTATTGTCCGCCTCCCACGTGATAATGAAGTTGGACTTGCAGCCAACGACGGTGTGAAAATTCTCTGGCTGATTTCCAGGTTCGCCCTGCGTTTGATAGGGCCGTAGGCAGCAGCTACTAAGGGACCCGATATAGGTTTAGTACAGCCTATTGGTTCAAAGTGAGACATTTTTAGCTATTATTAATTAAACCACCAAATGCATCTGTTCCCTACCAAACGGACTAAAATCCTGGGTCAAGTTTTTTCCAAACTGGGGCGTCGGAAACTATTGATTTTGTGCCTGCCGATCGGCCCACCTCAACATACCCGTCAGGGTCTGATCGGTGTCCGAATGGCTTAGCATTAAGTATCAAACAGGTCTGTGGAATCTTCGATTACCTCAATGGATCGATCCCCATGTCTTGAGACATTCCGTATCACGGGTAGTCTTCCTCAACCAAATCAACCATAGTCCCGTATTGATCTCGTGTATTGGGGTAAATGGTATTGTACATGCCAACAGGATTCTCATGATTCCGATACAGGGCAAGGAAGAGAGGTCATATTGCCACTAATCGTAAGGCAGGCAAGCCATTCAGGTTGCATGTTATCAACTCCACTCACCAGTATAGCAATTGGTTCATTCAGTCTGCAATAGATCCCGTGCCCCGATTTGCTGAACTCTCAACATGGCACTGTTCAGGCAGTCTGCTAACCTGATTACTCTACTCTCGTCTCGTGAGAACTCTCCTACCAACTGCAATCGAGAAAGCGCAGGTGCATGATATCTGCTACAAAGTTCTTGCAAGATCTATTGCCCAAGAATGGACGAGGGCACTGCCATTTATTCCGATTTTCTGGTAGGTGTTCTTGAGAATATAAATTAATTCAGATACAGGGTACTATACTACAGGCAAAGGAAGAACGGGAAATCAGCATTCCAAGTATAATCATGCTCAACTTGAACTCCACAACAAAGCGCAAGAGATAATGTAATGTTCATTTCATGCCTTCTGGTCGGGAAACTTTCTTAGCATGTCACCCAATCGATCAATAGGCGCAGACATCAGACCAACAACAGTTTCATACGGTGGCCGGTCAGGGGCCGCTGGATGGCTCCGCGTAGGAATGAAATTCTTAGTGCGACCGAAAGAACGCGCCATACTTTCGGAGGCAGATTCACCAATGGCATGTTCAAGAGCCGGTAGATCTTGGCTTTCTTCCTCATTGATGTGCTGCTCTAAGTTCGCCCACAGGCTTTGAAGAGTAGGGATGAACTCGGTATCATCAGGCTGAAGGCCTTGAAATGTATAGAGAAGCTCCTTGACCTGCAGTGTCACGCCAGTTAGCTTGATTCGTCCCTCAAAGAAACGAGGCTATACGTAATCATACTATTTGGTGCTCCTCTCTATCGTGCTCCGCCATGGCCTTGCCGTTGTCCAGCTTTAGCTCCATCTGGGGATACACGACTAGCTCCTCGCCAATCGAGTGGCGGGCCAGCTCCCAGGTAAATTGGTTTTGCCATCTGACCCTTTCATCATTCGTTTTTGCACCTAGAATTTGATGGTAAGCATCCTTCAGTTCGCGGTGGTCGTTCTTGATAAGTTCAGACACGCGAATCGCGGCAGGGGCGGTGATCCGGAAACCACGCCTCGCGGTCTGAACCGTTTTGGAGAAGAGATTGGAGGATTGTGGTCCCCTGAATGATGTTTTCGATAAAGAAGAGAGCGACATGATCGCTTGCCTGATTGGTTCGTGGGCGGGTTTGTAGTAATTTGCTCAGAAATGAAAGTATTATTACGATGTGCGCACTGTAATACACTGTCCTTGAGTTCGTGGGGTACAGCGCAGAACCTGTTTATAATGTCTGAATTTCGAGGTCCAGACCAGCTCGAAAGTATGACATGGGTGGTCATCAAGTGTGCAGTCCGGCCATCCAACAATGGTTAAGCAATTAATCATGTTTTGTCTGCGCCTCAAAGTTAGGGAGCCTCACATTGGCATGATAGAACAATGACATAGTTCAGGCGTCGCGACTTTGGCGGATGGTGGCTCTGCCGGTGAAACCAATAGAAATTTGCATAGGATCGTTGCCATGCGGGAAAGCCCTCAATAACCGGCTTCTTGACCGTTGAGGTCTCTGGGATCTGTTTGAGAGTCCCGCTGAGGGCTTAGCCTAGCCATGGCCACTCAGTGGATTTGCTCATCACGACGACAGCCTTCACAAAAGTCTAATCGGGGTGAAAGGTGAGGGAACGGTAACTTTATTTTGCGTGAGGTAACAACTGTTCACGGTTGGACGTCATGGCTGAGGCCGGAACCGCCCGGACGCCAAGGCAGGAAGTATAAGAACATATCCGCATGCCAGTAGGAGAGACCAGATCAAAGAGACGACCATAATAACCAGCTACCAGTGATTGATTGGCAAGACGGCAAGCAATGATGGCAGCGCATCCCTTACAGGCGTTGGGGGAAGCGGTGGGAGCGGCGGGAGCCGACCCGCGCATCAAGCAATTGAATTCGCTTTTTCAGGGGGCCAATGACGGGCCCGCCCGGACGGCGGCCAAGTTGACGGGGGTCCAGCAGGCCGGCAAGCGGCAGGATGACGGGCCCTACTTCACCAACAACGAGGGCATCCCCTTTCCCGATCCCGCTCACAGCAAGACCGCGGGTGGACTGCCCTTGGTGTCGGACACTTTCTTGCTGCAGAAACAGCAGCATTTCAACCGCTCCAAGAACCTGGAGCGGATGGTTCATCCCTGTATGTCCTGCTCCTCCTCGGTGGTTTCTTTGCCATCATCGGTCGGGTAATTAGATCAATTGGCTGACGATGCACAGGTGGTAGTGGAGCTTTCGGATACTTCGAAACTACCAGAGATGTATCCAACCTTACAAAGGTGCATATATCCCTTAGCTGCTGCCGAGAAGAATGTAACTTGAGAAAATACAGCTAACCTGGACAGGCCGACTTCCTCAAGTCCTCCGGACTGAAGACGCCGGTCTTCGTCCGCTTCTCTACCGTGACTCTCGGTCGGGAATTCCCCGATCTAGCCCGAAACCCGCGTGGTTTTGCCATCAAGTTCTACACGGGAGAAGGAAACTATGATATCGTGGGCCTGAATTTCGTATGTGATGTGGTGGATCTCATTCGTACTGCCTGTTTGACAGATCTCTGACTTTGTCTGGTCAGCCGGTCTTCTTCTGCCGAGACCCTATTCAGGGCCCCGACGTGATTCGGTCGCAATCCCGTAACCCTCAGAACTTCCTCCTCGACCACAACTCCCTCTTCGATCTCTTGGCTAATACGCCTGAGGGGTATGTTCCGTTCAGTGGATAGGAAAGATGCGTGTCATGTGGCTGACAATGGATAGAAATCATGCCGGTATGATGTTTTTCAGTAACCATGGAACGCCGAAGGGATGGAGAAATAACCACGGCTACGGCTGCCACACCTTCAAATGGTAAGGTGGCTGACATGAACCTGTGACCTGCACCTACTAACCACTTGTAGGGTGAATGATGAAGGCAAATTCGTGTATATCAAGTATCATTTCTTGGCAGATAATGGCCAGAGACAATTCACCGCCGATGAAGCCCAGTACCACGGAGGGGCCGATCCGGACTGGTCGAAACGCGATTTGTGGCAGGCAATCGAAAAGGGGGAAGAGATTACCTACACTGCACACGTGCAGATCATGCAGCCCGACGACGCAGACCCTGTGAAGCTGGGCTTTGATCCGTTCGATGTGACCAAGGTGTGGCCGAAGAAGCAGTTTCCGGTGAGTCCTAACTTCTCCGTCTTTTTCTCTGGGACGCCCTGGGTCACTCATCCATTTGATATAGCTTCAAGAGTTCGGTAAACTCCGCCTCAACAAGAACCCCGAGAATTTCCATCGCGATGTTGAACAGGCGGCGTTCTCCCCAGGCAGCATGGTCCCCGGCATTGAAGACAGCCCTGACCCCTTGTTGCAATTCCGTATGTTCTTCTACCGCGATGCACAATATCACCGAATCGGCATCAACCTCCACCAAGTTCCCGTCAACTGTCCTTTTATGGCCTCGTCCTATTCATCCCTGAATTTTGATGGTCAAATGCGCGTGGATGCCAATCACGGCATGAACCCGCAATATGTCCCGAACAGCTTTGTGAACAAGTTCCGACCAGATATTGCCGAGGCGCCTTACCAGCTAGCAGACAACAACGTCGGACGCAAATCCCATTTCTACCACGAAGGCAAGCCTTCCGAATACGATCAGCCACGGGCTTTGTATAAACAGGTGATGGATGAACGTGCTCGCAAGCAACTGCACGATAATACTGCCCGGCTCCTCCGACTCGTGGAGTATCCGCTGATCCAGATCAAGTATTTGGCACAATTGTACCGCATTGCACCGGAGTATGCAAAGGGCGTCTATGATCTGCTCCCCGAAAAGCCGTTTGCGTTTAGCGAGGTCGAGCAACGCGCTGGGGGTGCTGAGGCCGCCATGAAGGAGCCCAAGTTCCGCCCTTGCGCCCCGACTGATAAGTTGGTCGGAACGTGTCCGATGCAGCCGGTTTATAATGTGCGAGTGTAAGAAGCTCTACAATGGCTACATTGCTACTATATGATGTTTCCTACGATACATGTTCTCGTTTATATTCAGAGCTTATACTGTCGAACATAATCTGCAACAGACATGTTAATTCCATCCTGCTTACAGTGAATACTAGCGTCCCTTCTCTGTGTAAAATGTACAGCCGGTGATGCAGGCACCCTTGCTGAAGCGGCGATGGATCGGAGGTCAATAAACCTATGGTGCTCGAAGGTGGTTTTGACATGCTAATACCCTGACGAGGATATATATATCTGTGCCGGCACGGCAATGCTACTCAACTAGTCGGTGTCTTAGGCCTCGGAGCACCCAATTGTCCGCAACCGGTGGTGATGGGCTCCCACTCATAATCAAAAAACGGAGCTCAAGAAGATAGTGATGGTGACAGCACTTGTCCTCATACAAAGTAGATAGTTCTGCAGTCGTCCTGCGAATGATAACGCCGATCGATACTGTATTTGGAGATTCATGTGAAACCACCAAGAATAGCCCCACTAACTTGTTGATCAGGCAGACTTTGAAACCATCCAAACCCATCGCCCCGTCAGTTTTTCTTCCATGTCCACATTATCCACGAGTACTTCGCAAACAGAATACTAGTCACCACAAGCCAAGATGCCGGTTACTTTGACGACATCCAACACAAGACCAGAGGTATGGGGTACAGCCAAGGCACTCACGGCGGAAGACCTCTTGCAGGAGTCCTGTCCAGAAAACGCCCGTCGTTGCAAGCAGCTGCTCCAGAGCTCTTTCACCTCACAACACCTCGCGGAGAATCACATCAGCCCGTCTTCGAATGGCCTGGTCCATGCCGTGTTTCAGGCATATAGCTACCATCACCATCTGACTTTGCGACCGGAGGATGTATGGTTCGCCATCCTCTCCCAACTGAGCTTCTACATCAACGAGCATGCCGAAGAGTTGCGGTCGCATTTCGTGGCCCACAAGGGCAAGGAAGAAGTCTCCGTCACCACAGTGGGGACGATTAGCTCGGTCGACTTTGGAGCACTGGTCGTCCAAATGACCGAGGCCATCCAGAAAAAGGTCGTGGATCCCGACCTCCGGACATGGCTCATGCCGGCATTCAGCACCACCACCGCCAGTGACCAGGTCATAGCGGCGGTGCTGATGATGGGTGCCATGCAGCAATACTTCTCCTACAAAGCCTATCTGATGTGTGGCATTCCCACTGTGACGTTGCTGGGCGAGCAGGAAGACTGGGTCCAGCTGCTGAGCAAACTGGACAAGCTTCCGGACTTGGGCACCGAGCCGGCTCAGTTTGCTCGTCTTCTCCGGCCTATCCTGACGAGATTCATTATCTCCTTTGATGATCCTACTTCAGAGTCCGTTCGTGAATTTTGGGGCTTATGTGCAGATCGAATTTCATTCGGGAGTGGCCCGTCCTATCTGTCCGGGTGGGTCACCGCGTTCTGCTACTGGGATGAGAAAGGTCGGCCCATGGAGGATAAGGGCATATCGGGATGTGAACTGGATGGTGTCCAGTATCATCGTGTTGACATCACAGACATCCCGGGCGCATTCGCCTCGGTCCCGATGAAGGTGAATGACAATGGCACCGAGTATGAAACGGAGCTCGTGACCGGAGTAATAGGCATTCAAGCCAGTTGTGGCAAACAGACGACAGCTGCTATTGGAGATGCAGAGGCCCAGCAAGACACGATCCAACCGGCTTCGGGATGGTGGATATATGAGAAGGAAACTGCCGCAGAGAATCCGGAGTGAAATTCACCAAGGCGTGGACTTGATGATTGCTTAGGATATATCAAAGCCCAAGATAGTGATTGATTAGAGGATACATGACCTAATCTATAGCTTCAATCAGCAGCCGCAGTTGGCTAACTTTGATTATAGGCCGTGTAGTATTCCATTTATTCAATATTGAGTCTCTGCGATGGCCTGAACACGGTAAGGTGTCCATGCAATATCCAGGAAAAAAGGGAAGATCTCCTGGGGTTCAGACGGTGTGATAGACCCGCCCCAGGATATCTTCAAAGGGCTTCATTTCTGTCTTTCGGTGCATGTCATTTGTCATTCTCAACTCCCACCATGCGCGTAACCAGGCTTTCCAGTTCTCAGAGTACTTTCTTCCCGAAGCTATTTTCCTGGTTATTACCATAGGCCCCGAGCACGGAAGGAGGTAGAAGGCATCAGAGGTGTCTTATATGGT